AACACAAGTGCAAGGATACGCAGGTGGCTAAAAAGATGGAGTCACAGGTGAGGAATCCAGAAATACTGAATCTAGTTGTAATATTAGTTCAACCAAAACATGAAGAAAGTGATTCAGGGAGGAAATGGTTTCCCATATTTCAGAAAAGCACGCCTGTTCTGTTTAGAATAATAATGCCAACAGTGCAAGGATGATATTTTTTCTCAATGGAAGAGATCAGGATGATAGATTTGTCAACTTCTAGACAAAAGTTGTCTAAATGACTGTGGCTCATGTGAGTACCTGTATGAAGAGCTCTGATTTTTATAGCAAAACTGACTGCCTAGTTCTGCTCAATTATCTGCATTGCTTGTGGAGTAAAAAAAAAAAGAGTAAATTAAAAAGAAAACTGGGGGATGGTAGGATGGTGTAAGCAATCAGCTCTTAGATACCAGAGATTCATTATCACCTGAAAGCAGTCATCAGAAGTCTCAGTAATCCCTGTCAAATAAAGTGTGTTCTCTTAAAAGTGGTAAGGACCCTTTTAAAAGGCCTTGTGTCCTACTTTGTTTTCAACAAACAAAAAAATGCAGGCTTAGTGTTGACATTCTAATATGATGTAATTCACCTCTATTATAGCATGTAATAATATAAATCTGTAATTACTAGATAGGAGAAAATGTCCTTGGGTATTCAGACAAATAAAAGAAATGAATAAATTTTAATCCCCAGTAAAATATATCCTTAATGATCATGGTCAATATTATTTTAATATACATGCTTTTATTATATTCATAAGCTGATCAAATCAGCAGAGGTGGAAAACTAAACTGGTTTTTAATAATCTTGCTTGCTTGTGGTGAGAGAGAAACATAGTAAAGAAAACTGCTTATTTTAATTAAGGGAAGAAACAGAAACCTTTATAGTGCTTTACATTTATAGAGGAAAAAAATCTCACCACATTAACAAATCACAGAACTGCTTGTATTGAAACTGCATGCTGTTTTGCCTCCTACATAAGTCATATTATGGAGAGAGACTTTTGAAGCAAAAGTTTTCATTACCCACTTCTACACAGAAGACTCTAAGAGCAGCTCTTACTGCATTTGCATATTTATAGAAATAGTTTCTGAATTTTATTTTTTTTTTTAAAGCTGAAGAAAATAGATCTTCCTAAGTGTAACTTTACAACTTTCTTTCAAAAATTGGTCCATGGCTTACTGGATATGTAAAAATGAAATTACTAATGTGGGCCTAAAATATTATCTGTGTATATGCTGGACTCTGTACTCTGAACTTCTGCAGTTAGTAGCTCAGATCAGTACTTGTTCATGGATTGCAGGACAAAACAATTACTTGGATTACCTGATTTCACTCTGGTAGAGACAACTAGAACTCTAGGATCCTGCAGTGACTGAGCACTCTGTACTGCCATCCTTATGCAAAAGTTTTGATAAAGAGAAAATCCAAGAAAAATGTTAAATATTCTGCATCAGCAAAATGATCCAGCTGCAACTACTGATGGTTTCATCAAAATTCATCCAGTGGAGCTGTGCACCACTGGCTCTCCTGGTAGCATAAACTTGTTCTGGCTTAGACATGACATACAATTAGACTTCTCCCCACACCATCAAGAATGTAAATTGTGCAGGTAAAGTATAAACTCATTGGCATAAAGCTAATTCCTATAAAATGTCTGAAAGAGTCTCAACCAGAAAACCATGTTTATACCAGATCGTCGCTCTGCCACAGCGCTTTTGATCTGGAATTATGAGTCTTAAAACTGACTTCAGTATAATTGTTAATATATGTCTTCAGTCACACATATGTAAAAGTATATAATAATACTTTTCCCATCTCAGATATTTTGTGAATAAATACATTGCTATGGAATGTCATAAATATCCTCTATATAAACATCATCATCAATCCCATTGAACAGTGATTATACAAAGAAGAAAAATATGTTGACTACCCCCAAAGCTCCAGATTTTCTGCAATTACCTCACTAGCTTGTATGCTAAAAGCAGCATAACATGGAATTCAGTAGGGAATTTTGGCTGGGGAAGGGATAATGTGATAATGTTCTTTACAGTAGTTAGATTTGTGCTGGAAACAAGTGTATAACTCAGGGATGTTTCTATTGCAGTGGAGCAGTGCTTAGAGAGCATCAAGGCCTTTATTTCTCCTCAACTGACTCCACCAACAAGGTGCACAAGCAGCTGGGAGAGGACACAATTGGGATCACTGACCCAAGAAATTCAATATACCATGGTGTCATGCTTGGCATATAAAACTGGGGAAAGAAGGGGGAAGGACCTGGGATGTTGACTGTGATGGTGTTTGTCTTCCCAAGTCAAAGTTACACCTGATTGAGTCCTGTTTTTCTGGGATGGTTTAACACTTGCCTGCCCATGGGAAATGAGTGCATTTCTTGTCTTGCTTTGCTTGTAAGTACAGGTTTACCTATTAAACTGTTTACCTATTATTTACCTATTAAACTTGCTTTATCTCAGCTCATGTGTATTCTTACTTTTACTTTTCTGGTTCCTCCCCCCTCCCACTCCAAGGAACAGTGAGTGGATGGTGCTTGGTTGCCAGCTGGACATAATCCATGACAAGGGCAATCTACTAAAATGATAATTGCAGAAAATTAGATTGCAACAAGCAATCTAGTACCACAACTAGTGGAAACTCCTGCCCCATCTGTCTAGTTTGCATACACCTGCACGTAGCTGGTGGACCCCAGAGTGCTATGAAGAGACCCTGGAAGTGTAAGGAGAAAAACATGGTAATTGAGATTCACAACTTGTCATTTATTGAGAGTTTACTTATATCATATAGCACTGTTACAGAGTATATGCAGGAGTGGAAAAAAACCCTGTTTGGTTCAGCAAGTAGAGGAAAGAAGAAATTTTCTCTTACTTTAGGATGCTTTTTTGAAAGTAGTCAGGGGTTCTGCCCACTCTTGGAAAAGGGCCTGGGACTTCATATTGCCTGTTCATCATATATAACCAGTGTCACCATATCTGCAGTTCTTAAAACTTCCTTTGCAAGAGTTCTGTAAGACAGTTTAGTTCTGCCCATTGAGGTGAAATATAACATGAAGCAGTTCACTTTAAAAATCTGAAAAAAATATTTTGAGAAGACCTGATAGTATTAGATTATTCTCATCTTCTGTTTTTCTATCTTGAAAATACTCATATAACCAGAAACTAGTTATAGCTGCAGATTCTGAATACATTAAAAAAAAATGCCATCCACTCTAAAGATTCAGAGCTGAGCCAGATGGCACATCTGACTGCCGTGTATATGAGCCACTGTACTCCTACTGCTGTGAAAATCAGAAGCTGATGTATCAGTGGATGAAGCTAGTTTACCAGGAATCTCTCTTGCAGCTCTGACCTAGGGCAGCCACTGTCTCTAAGTGGTGCAGCTAGTGCACACAGGTTTGAGTAAACATGTGGTGAAGTTGTTTTATAAGTATCACGGAAGATAAAAAACTGAGTGAAGTAAGGACCTTGAACAAAATGGAAGAAAAATGGAAGCAGAACATTGAAATGCTATGTTATTTCTTCTCTTTAACACACACGGGCACACAATAGCTCCTTCTGCACTTGGAATTCAATGCGCGTGAGTCAGCCTGTCCAATATCAGCAATTACAGCTATAAATGCAGAGCTATTATGCACTCATGTTGTGTAGCTTGGGAGTAGTCTATTCTACCGGGAACAAAAAGGTCTTGAGCAGCTTAAGGTTCTTAAGTATTCTCAAGCAGCGAGTAGGCAGTCAACTGTGCAGCCTTGCTTCACACAGCAAGAATTCAGCTCCAGCACTCTGCTCCCTGAGAAGAGCCCAGGGCCCTGCAGGAGTGACATTCTCTTGTGTGCAGCAGTACTGCAGATGAAGTCCCAGTTAACCTCCCATTTTCATCAGCAGGAAATCTTTGCACATTTTTTCTCACAGCTTCCTTTCCACAGTCATTCATTTACACTGATTTATAGCCTTCCTCACTGTCCTCCTCCTCAATTCTTCCCCCTCAATTTTTTCCTGAGGCCTGAAAAACTTAAACGTGGAAAGTACATGTTGGGTAATTAACAATCCGATTTTTTTTGCCTTCTCAGCATGGATGGGAATGACCAGGTGGATGATGCCAGTGGTCCTTTTCAGGGTGCACATCTGCTGGTGACTGGCCCAGAAAGCAGTTTTATGTGAGAAACAGAATTCAGAGCTCGTATGTGACAAATGAGAAATAAATGAGAAGCGAGGAAAGTGACCTTGTCCTCTGACCCTGACCTCTGGTCCAAGCCGAAAGGCTCAGCCCTGAACAGGGGCTGAGAACAGGGGCTAAGACAGGCTGAGAAAGCTGGAGCTGTTCAGCCTGAAGGAGAGAAGGTTGCGTAGACCTTCCAGTATCTGACGGGGGTCTACAGGGAAGCTGAACTCTTGGTCATGAAGAGAGAGATAAGATGAAGAGTAACGGGTACAAACTGAAGGAGGGGAAATTTAGTTAGGAAGAGAAATTCTTAGTGTGAGCAGCGGAGCCAGAGCCCCGTCACAAAGGGCCAAAGGTGCCGTCACTCGGCGCAGCACCACGGGCTCGCACTGCCTCCGAGCGGCACGCAGCCCCGCACAGCCCCTGGCAGACGTGTCTCCTGCGGGCCCGGGACCACCGAGCCCAGCTGCCCGCCGGCCCCTGCCGCAAACAAGCTCCCCGGGCGCCCTCAGCCGCAGCCCCCGGGGAAGCGGCCGGGGGACGCGACGAGCCGCGGGGCCGGGCGAGGCGGGCCGGGCGGACGCCCACCGAGCCGGGCCGCCGCCTCGCCCCCGGGCCGGGCGGAGGGCGGAGCTGCCGGCGGGCGGAGCCGTCCGCGGCACCGCCTCCGCCGTCATCTGCCGCTGGAGCTGGGGGAGCGCGGCAGAGGCGGCCGGCAGCGGTGGGTTGGTGCCGCTCTCCGGCCTCGGGGTGCTCGGCGGGGCGCCGGCGGCGAGGGGAGCCGAGCAGGAGCCGTCTCGGTCCCGGTGCGGCCGCGGGCAGCGCGGAGCTTGCCCCGCCGCGCCCTGCCCCGCCGTGTGTCCCTGCTGCGGGCGGGCGGCGCGGCGTGCCCGGGGACTGCGGCGCGGGCTCTCCGGGTTAGTCTGATACGCTTTTATTGCTGTTCCGCTCGGCCTCGGGGAGAAGGGCTGGGGAAAGGCGGGCGGCGCAGGGCGGAGGCCGGCGGGGCCCCCGAGCCGGGCTGGGGCAGGTGATGAGGCGGCCGGCGGCGACGGGTGCTGTCCGCGCCGGGAGCCCCGCCGGCCCCCGAGGCCTGGAGCGCCGGCGAGAACGCGTCTCGCTCCCGTGCTCTGTATGTGTGTGTCTGGTGGTCTGTCTGTCTTCGTTTTGGGAGGGGGGAGATTTGTCTGTGAACTTCCACGGACTTTTAAGTCTCTTGATTGTGGGGTCGCAGCACTTTAAAGGAAAAGAGCGCCCAACAGCATGTAGGGGAATGGTGGGAGGTAGATTCCTGTATGCCTGAGGCGCTGGCCATTTCGGGGTTGAGCTCTGCCGCTGCTTTTCCAGGTGCGCACAGCCCATCCCCGTGGAGGTCCGGCTGGGCGCTGCAAGGGGAGCGGGGCTTGACTGAGACTTCTCTGCTGATTTTGCTGAGTAGAGCCGGATAGAAGGAAAGTCCTTCAATAGTAAACTTACCTGTTAGTACCATAAAGTGACTTCTGTAAAGTAGCAATCTCTCCAGTACCTTGCTTATGTAATCAGAGGCTTTTGGTTTATCCTCTGCACCCCTCTTTTCTCTTTAATGTTGCCTCTTAAAAGCTAAGCTATGCTATTGCTTTAGGAAAACTTGGCGTTGGTGTTGTTATCTCTCCCTAAGGATATGTAAATATACTTACTTCATGTTGCTTCTGAAAGGATATTACTTAAGATGAAGAAACAGAGGGTTTGTTCCTTTTATTTGTTAGAGTCATGTATTTATTTAGCTGATATGACACTAGCATTTAAGTAACGTAAGGTGAAGAGGACTTAGATCAATGTTAAAACCATTTTAAGAAATTCTTCTTAAAATGAACCTAAGGAGCATTGGCAGTTCTGAAATTTATGAATGTATATTGTAGCACCCACTAGACTTTATGTAGCAATGTAAATTTATAGGATGTTTATCTCATGGTTTATTAGTGTGGAGATGCTTATAATGAAGTTCATTAAATTGTGTCTCAAAATTCTTTCATCTTCAAAGTGGAGAATACATGTTCTGATGAATGCCTAATAGAGTTGTTACTCTGACTCTCCCAAAACCTATAATAATACCTAATTTGTGACCTGTTTCTCCACCAAAATATTTTTCCTATCCATAATATGTTGGGTTTTTTCCTTATTGCCATTTCAAAGCTGATTCAGAAAATACAAAATTGAACACAATTATTCAAATCCCTTTTGCTCTTGAAGTTCAGTGTCTAATAATTAATTTATTGGGAGAAAATAAAACAGGACTGTAAATAACTTATCTTCATTATTTTTATTTTACTGTATTACATTCTTTCCTTGATTCTTCCCTTCCTGCAATTAGATAAAACAGGGAGTTGAAAATAATTCTAAGACTTGTTATTGATCCTTAAGCCATTAAAAGCAGCAAGAGATTTCTTTCTCCAAATTCATTGGATGCTAGTTGAAGGGTGCCTTTAGTTATATATTTGGATATTCTTGATATTGGAAGAATTGAAACATGTGCCTAAGAATAAGCATTTGCTCACATGTTTTACTGTAAAAGGGTGTTGTGGAATGGTGTTGATTTCTCTCTTTCTTGTCTAGCCTGTAGGGAGCAAAAGGTTTTTTTTCTTTTACTTTTGACATGAGTAGAATGGACTAGAAATTATAAAACTGCTTTCTCTGTGGCCGTGTAATGTGCTCCATGTGCTGTGGAAAATGTGCTTACTGATTCCTCCAGTCCTGAACGTACTGTACCTAATCGGTGTGTTTATATTCTGTGTAACCAAGGCAGGTTAGGTGTGTTGGCATTCTTGGCTAGTTTAGAGCAGAAACTGGGTAGATGGTTACAAGGCACTGCCTCCCCCTTTCCTCCCAGCTCACATTTGGTTTTAATGGTAGATAAGAGCTGGCACAGCTTTCATGCCCTTTTCAGCACCCTGCACAATACAGTGCTGTGCTAGCAATTGCTGAGAGCCTGCCCAAAGGTTTGTCTTTCACCGTGATTGACGACTGTATACTTCTTGGTGTTGTAGTGATTGCTTTGGTTATGTGGTCACCTCCTATGAGGAGATAGCCTGCTTAGTGGATGAGGGAAAGGCTGTGGATGTAGGCTACCTGGACTTTACTGAAGCCTTTGATACTGTCTCCCACAGCATTCCCCTGGAGAAGCTGGCAACCCATGGCTTTTCCAGCTGCCCTCTCTGCTGGTTAAACCAACTGGCTTGATGTCCATGTTTAGACAGTGGTGGTAAATTGAATTGCATCCAGATGGTGGGTAGTCACAAGAGATGTTTCCCAGTGCTCAGTCAATCTTTAAGAATTTTATTGGTGATCTGGATGAGAGGATCGAGTATGCCCTCAGTAACTTTGCAGGCAACACCAAGTTGGCTGGGAGTGTTGATCTCCTTGAGGGTAGGAGGGCTGTGCAGAGGGATGGATCTGGACAGGTTAGCTTGGTGGCCAAGGCAGGGGTATGAGGTTCAACATGCCATGCCAGGTCCTGCACTTGGGTCACGGCAGCTCCATCAAGTGCTACAGGCTGGTGAAGAGTGGCTGGAAAGGGGCCCAATGAAAAAGGGCTTGGAGATGCTGGTCAACAGCAGCTGAACGCAAGCCAGTGTGTGTGTCTGGGTGGCCAAGAAGGCCCCTGGCATTCTGGCCTGTACCAACAGTAGTGTGGCCAGCAGGACTGGGGCAGGGATTGTCCCCCTGTACTCAGCACTGCTGAGCCCACACCTCAAGTCCTGTGCTCAGTTCTGTGCCCCTCACTGCAGGACAGACATTGAGGTGCTGGAAGGTGTCCACAGCAGGGCAACAGAGCTGGGGAAGGCTCTGGAGCACAAGTCCTGTGAGGAGTGGCTGGGGGAGCTGGGGTTGTTCAGCTTGGAGAAGAAGAGGATCAGGGGAGTGCAAAGGAGACTGAAAGGAAGGTGTAGCAAGTGGGAGTCGTTCTATTCTCTCAGGTAACAATTGGGCAAGCAGAAAAGGCCTTAAGCTGTGCTAAGGAAGGTTTAGATGAGGTATTAGGAAAAATTTATTCTCTGGAAAGGTGGTCAGACATTGGAATCATCATGCCTGGATGTGTTCAAAAGATGGGTAGACATGGATCAGCGGTGGACCTGGCACAGTCAGGCTAACAGCTGGACTCAGTGACCCTAAGTGTCTTTTCCAACCTAAATGGTTCTAAGATTCTATTGCTTGTGATATGATTGTGTGATGTGCTTATGATGTTATTATGTGATGGCCATATTTGAAATTTATCTATTGTAGAAGTTAAAAAGCAAACTTCAATGATCAGGCAAAATAAAATGTGAATTTAGAGCATATTGATGAGCAGTTGGGTATTTATTTTATTGATTAAAACCTCATATTGCCTGATAGCAAGCTCTACATAAGTTAATGCAAAGGAATGTTTTTTCAAGTTAAAGACTTTGCTGGCATAGCAAGCAGGAATTGGAACGATGGTTTTCATGTCTTCTCTGCTGACATCCTGCCATTCAGTGCGAAGTACTGAATGGATCATTCCTTCTCTAAGTGCAATTTGTATTTGAATCAGTTTTGTACTATCCACTACTTGTTATAGGCTCACAGCACTGGTACTCTGAATTTTATTTTCTCTAAATAGATCAAGTGTTGACACTGTTGAGGCAGGATGGGAATTAATAGACTTTGTTCAGAAGGCTGAGAGTATAACTGATTTATTTCAAAATACATCACTCTTTATAGAGAGCTTCATCCAGACCAATTCCATTGGTCCTGAAGTAAAAACATGTCAAATCATTGGTGTGCAGTGAATTATGCACAATGGCAAACTTATCTCTAAATGATGTGAACAAGAGAGATAAAGAACCTTATTTACATTCTTCTCAACTGTTTCTCAGGCTTCTGCCTGGTTAGAAACTTTTGGTTTCCCTCTGAGAATACCCACAAAGTGTCTAATTTGTTGTTGCAGACTACTGTTGTGGTTATGTGGTCATGTGTATTGTCTTATTCTTCACATTTTTACAGTCCTGAAAGACCTTTCCTCCTTGTATGTGAGGAAGAAAATTGAAGTCCTCCTTCAGTGAGCTGGAGTTTCCATTTTTTTACGTTCCTTCTTCATTCTCTAGCTGTGACTGGAAAACCATATCAACCTGTTGCAAGGTGCAATTTACTATTTTATTGTTATTTCCTCCTTGCAGTAAAGCTGTTCTGTTTTATTTGTCATCAGTGAAGTAGGAGGAAGTTGCACTTGCATTGTTTATTTTCACTCTTGTCTAGATGTGCTTGTGTTTTGTGTTTTGAAATATGAAATTTTAAAGTAAGAGTAAGCTCACAGTAGTTTCTTCAGTGTGTCACAGCTATCAGCTGCATCATAATCAAAAAATTAAGTTACTTGGAAAATATTTTGTGATGCTGTGTATTTGCATAGTCATAGGATGTTTCTGTCTAGTAAAGCAGGTGCTGGATGATGGCCGTTTCAGTAGCTGTGTTCATTTTTGTTGCTAGCTCTTTTAGCTCAAGATTCATGTATTTTGTGATTGCATGCCATCTGGGCCACCCCCTGTTTGGTACATTCTGGTTTTTTATATGATCCTTGTTATTGCAGTATTTTAAATTCTATAGATAGTGATGTACCTTTTAAAATTCTCTTTAAGATCAGAGAACACACATATTACACACCCTGGAGCTGAGGCACAGAAGCTGAAAGACTCATTCAGTGCTGCATAAGAAATGTTTGACTGCAGATCAAGATCCATTGTTGGTAAGAGGATTTTTATTCTCTTCAAAAGGAGACCAGTTTACTGTGAATCATAAAACTCATCATGAAAAAAAAAAGTGTTGGGCTTCTGGAATCAGGTTCCACTTGGCTCCTTTTATCTTTGTCAAACTTAGAATTTGGCAGTATTTTGGCAAGGGAAAATATAAATTGAAAAGTCTGTCTTGATGTCCTTTTGTGGAGTTTTTAGTTTATGACCACAATTATATTATACATTATGAACACAAATGCAAAGATCCTTTAATTGCAGAAATACTTAAAATCAATACCCTTCAACAGTAGAAATCTTGGTGTAATTTGCAGCAGTTGACAGTTATTAAGCCTTGCTAAACAGCTCCAGAAACTTAACTGTGCCATTTGAGCTGAAGAAAGCTGCTGCCGTTTAAGATTACAGCTTGGTGAGCAGTGCAGTTTAATGACACATTGCCTTCAGCATCAAACAAAGCTGGCTAAAAATGCTACAAGTGTTATGGCAGTTTGCCACTTTTCTGGCTGTGGTTGCACAACTGTTGGTAAGGCTTTGTGATAGTATCGGATCACTGAACAGATCTGAATTAAAAATAACTTTGCAAGAACAAAAGAAACCAGCGTGATGATGGGCAGCTGTCGTTCAACTGGCTCTTTAGCTGGGGCAATTTGCAGGTTCAACCCACATTTGTGGGGTTGTGCTGCAGTGGGTGGGTTGTAAATGGCAGGGGACAGGTGTAAGAGAAGGAATTGATAATTTCTTATGCTCTTGACAAGATGATTGAGTGCGTGAAATTGCTGTTTGTGTTCATTTGATCTAGTCAAGAGAGAGAAACTTGTTGCTTGGTTTTTAACAGCTTGGTACTGCCTTGCCCCCAGCCTGAATATCACTTTCTGTGCCCATCAGGATTGTGTTGTTGTTGTTGTTTTGGTTTTTTCCTTCCTTGTTGCTGATACTTTGTAGCAAAATTAGCTACTTTTACTACTCTAGCCAAGCCCATGATCAGATCAGTGTGTGCCAAGGGAGAGAATGGACTGGATTCTCCTCGCACTGTGTGCAGAGATTCCCATCCTTTGCTATCTGGGGAAATAATTTGCTTTTTTTCTTCTGGTGAGTTTGTTTTCACAAGAAGTTCTTGGCCTGAATACTTGGTCTGTAGTGAATCAGCTAAATGCCAGAGGATAGATCCATGCAGCTAGATGATACCTTAACTATAGGGGAGCTACAGGACAGACAGTCTCACCTCTGTGCCCAGCAAAATCAGGGTATAGATCCTCCTGGGAATGTGCTCTGGTGCATGGAAAATAAAGATATATTTGGTACCAGCCAACATAGCTTCACTAAGGGCAAACTGTACCTGAAAAATTTGATGGCCTTCTATAACAGGGTTATAGAGCAACTGACACCCCTTACCTGGACTTACACAAAACATTGCCACTGTTCCTTATCTCTAAACTGAGGAGACGTGGATTTATTAGGTGGACCTCTTGTTGGATAAGGAATTGGCTGGATGATTGCACTCAAGCAGCTGCAGTCAATGGCTCAATGTCCAAGTGGAGGGCAGTGATGAGTGGTGTCCTCAGGGGCTGGTATTGGGACTGGAGCTATTTAGCAGCTTTGTTGGTGACAGGGAGCATAGGACGGAGTGCACCCTCAGCAGCTGTGCTGATAACACCAAACTTGTGATGTCAACATGCTGGAGGGCAGGGGTGGCATCCAGTGGGACTGTGGCAGCCATATGTGAATCTCATGTAGGTCCTGCATGGGGCTTTTGTCAATTCCAAGCAGAAATACAGGCTGAGAGGAGAATGGATTAAGAGCAGCCCTGGGTAGAAAGACTTGTGGTTGCTGGTTGATGAGGGGCTGGACATGACTGGGCAATGTGTACTTGCAGCCCAACCACATCCTGGGCTGCATTCAAAGCAGGATGGCCAGCAGGGCATTGGAGGGGATTCTGCCCCTCTGCTCTGTTGAGACCCCACCTGCAGTGCTGCATCCAGCTCTGGGGTCCTAGCACAGGAAGGACATGGACCTGTTGGAGAGAGTCAGGAGGAGAGCCATGAAGATAATGTGGGGGACTGGAAGTACTCTCCTCTGAAGACAAGCTGGGGATGTTGAGCCTGAAACAGAGAAGGTTCTGGGGAGACCTTAGGGCAGCCTTCCAATATCTAAAGGGGGTAAGAGAGTTGGTTAAATTGAACGCTTGATGAGGTCATGTAGTCATACGACAATGGGGAATGGCTTTAAACTGAAAGAGGGTAGGTTTAGATTAAGTATTACAAGTAAATTCTGTACTTTGAGGGTGATGAGGCATGGGAACAGGTTGTTCAGAGAAATAGTGGATGCTTTGTCCCTGAAAGTGTTCAAGGCCAGGTTGGAAGGGGCATTGAGCAACCTGGTCTGGTGGAAGGCGTCCCTGGTCTGCCTATGGCTAGTGGGGTTGGAACTAGATAGTGTTTAAAAATGCTTTTGATCCAAACCATTCTGTGATTCTGTGATTAATTGTAGGAGGGGTATGTCCATCACTCTCCAGGTCTCAGTGTAGCTATTCTCAACAGCAGCAGTGGGGGGAGCAGGGAGATACCAGCAGCAGCAGCCTGATGGTGGTCCCAGGTCTGTACCAAGGCTGGCAACCTGTGCTAGCTGCTGGTCTGTGTCTGCAGCTCTTGCTGAGTGTCATGTGTAGAAAAGTTTCCCAGTGCTGGAATAGCATTGCCATTTAGTTATGGAAAAAATCTTGTGAAGTCTCCTGCCCTTAGCCGCTGGACCATGACAGCCAGTAAATGTTTGCTTTTGGATTCATTACAAACTGTTGTTTCTTCCCCAAATCTTTTTTTTTTTTTTTTTGGTTCATGAAGAGGCCTAACTGAATGAGATAGCACATCTCAAACTGTGGTTTGCTCAATGGCAATTACTCACAGGCTGTATGTCAAATGGCTTTTTGTTGGTTTCCTGAAGATTTCTGCTGATCTATGAGTGATTTGGAGGGATGTTTGTAATCTGTTGGCTTACAAAATTTGGGAAATGTGAACTTTTTGTTAATCTTTTTTTTACCCTAGTGAACTCAGTTGCTGGTAAAACATTTAAAACACTCATGAGCCAAAAAATTTGGAAGAAGACAGGTTTCTATCTGGGTAGTGTAAAAATCCATTGCAGCTACCAGTTCTGTCTATCTCCAATTAGAAGATTAATGAAAATATTTATTTTGGGTCAAAGGAACAGTCTTCATGGCTATGTACCTTCTCTAACCCAAGCTGTAAAGTTGCATTATTAAAACAGAGCTGAGAAATTTGAGAGGCTCTTATTAGAGCTATATTGAAAATCTTCAAAGTATGATTGAGCTAAATTGTAAGATTCTGAGATATCCTGGTTACTGCTAAGATAACTTCCTGGTGTCTGCAGATGCTCACCCTTTTTATACCTAATTATAGTCTTAGTCTTAATGTGTTGTAAGAGGTTTTTGACAGGAGTAATGCAGTAGCCATTGAGACCATGGCTATATTGAGTTTGGCAAGGGGCACTACACATGATCAAAACTATCTCAGATAAGAACACCATTTCAGTAGTGCTGTCTGAGTTAAGATTTTGGATACTGTATTACTTAGTTACTTCGGTGTCAAATTTGACATTCAAAACTCCGTGAAGGGGTGAGTCAGCTGTGTTGTAATCCTTTCTCTTTAGTGTTTGTTTCTCTTCCTCTAGGGTTTTACAAATTTGAAAAGACTTGCTACTGATTTGTCTGAATATACAAATATTTCTGTATGCATAATTCTAACAAAACATTGCTAAGAAAATATATAGTCCTATTCAGCCTTTTCCTCCAGTATGTTTGCTGACTGTATTGGGAGAGATGTATCTGGGGATGGAGGGGTGAAAATTGCCTTCTAGGCTGTTGGAAAGGTAGCCATGCAGTGTATTCTTTTGGAGTATGAGTCAAGGTAAAGATCACTATACCTTGACTCTCTTCATTGTGCAATGCATATGCAGCAGAGCCACACCTGCAGGTGCTTATTGGGATCTTGATATTTATTTGCGTTATGTTTTATGTGTGATTCTTCACTAAGCAGAGGAGACAGTCTGGTGTGGAGATTGCCTCTTCTTACTCAGCTGACCCAGCTCCTGGTCACCAAGCTGCAGAGAGATTCAGTGGTGTTTCTGTGGTTAAACAAGTAGCCTGCAAAGAAGAAGGCTCGTATGTCTTATCTTGCATGAAGGAGCACACCCTTAGGACAAAATTGAGTTCCCAGCTTCTGTCAAAATTTGTGTCTTTGCTTGAGTTTGAGTGATGTGGAGGTCAGTATGGATAACTGTATAAGGTATGTGACAGTCGTACATGTCTGCATGAAGGCCAGCACACAGAGAAGCCTTTGAGGGACTGGTACTTTAGCTCTTTACATCCCACTCAGCTTTGAGGAAAAGAAACTTTCACATTCAGAGTTGTAATGAAGCTCCTGAGAGGGAAGAGAAATTTCCACCAAATTTAGTCACTTTGTTCAACATGAAAACAAAGGAAGTATTGTGAATACTATCTGGCTAGAAAACAGTAAATCTTCTCATGGGAGTCCACAGTTTCTGGTTTTGTTTTTAGTACAAACATGATGATGTAACAAAGTAATCTTGTTAAATAATGATACTTGTATGTTTAATGTTATCAGTTTCTGTTTACACTTTAAACCTTTTTGCCAGCTATTCATAGATTTCTGTAGTAGAACTCTTAAATACAGCAATGGAAAGAGCATTATTGTGTATTTCTCAAGGACAATAGAAATCTGAATTGGAAACTTACTTTGCCTAGAGGCTTTGCTGGTCTTTCTGCTAGAAATAGTTTTGAAGTACTGGGAATGTGGATGAGTAAGGGTCATTGTCTTTCTCATCACATTTTTTTGTGATTATAAGGCTTCTGCTGAAATTTGTGGTGCTGCTTCCATACAAGCAGATGTGGTGCTTTTGAGACTGCTTCAATCTTCAGGCCGCCTGTCAGTGTGATGATTCTTAGTGCATGCAGAAAGCAGAGATGGCATTCTTAAAGATGTGTCCATTTTCTAGGCAGAAGAACACACAATGTTATTATGTGGGGAGCAAATAATGAAATCTAAGTATAATATATTAAAAGTACCTAAAATTGAAGCACAAACACCTGTGTAATTTTAAGAGATCTAATATTCTAATATTATTAGACAAAACAATGCAAATTTTTAGTGCAGTAATGAGGAGGAGTTTGAGACCTCTTCAATAAAAGAATCCATCCAATCAGAAAAGGGTCTTAATTAACCATGTGACTATAAGATCACTTATTTAGGAATCACTTGTACCACTTGAATCACATTTTTATCACTTATATAGGAACACGTGCTAAAATGTTCACTGTTGACCAATTTTTTTTAAAGATAAATACATTTTCAGAGCAAGATCTAAGCAATGAGTAGTTTATAACTATAAATATTTAGGTTAAGATGGCTCACATACTGCTTTTCATTTGAGATGTATTTCTTATTCAAAGTCTTATGCTTAAGTTTTTGAAGAAAAAAAAAAGAAATTCTAACAGTAGGAGGAGCATCCTACTTGTTAGCCTGCAAAGCTTTAATTAAGTCTTGGAGTATTGTAAACTGTCATCTCTGCGCAGTCCCAAGCTCTCTGTTGGGAATTATGTAGAACACAGCCAACTAATTTTGACCTGTTGGTGAAGAAATATTTTAATTGTCTGTGTATGAAAAAGCAGATTCAGTGTACTGTGGTGTTCTCATGCAAAATAGCTAAGAAACATACAAGTGTCTAGCAGGACTAGGTGTTTTATATGGCTGCCCCAGGCCTTTGTTTAGTGTTTACACGGTTGTTTCTCTTTCTCTAGGATTTTATCCTGCTAGAGAACATACCAGGTTTTGTTGTGTGTTAGTGTCTACCTAGGAGTGACTTTAGTTGTGTTCTTCATACGCTTATGTTGGAGTCTGAAGTGTTACTGCTAACAGACAGACCCCATCTAGGACTGTCTGTGTTGTCTGCCTCTCTGTAGCAGAGAAGCAAAACTAGAAGCTTTGAGCAGCAGATGAGTACTTTGAGTCATCTACTGCCCATACAGGCTGCAATGAGGGCAGTTTTCCTTCATATTTTCCTTCTTACTTCAATGGACCAGATTGTTATTAATGTTATAATTATGAGAGCACAGGCCTTCCTGTTGTGCTCTTATTAACAAAAGTGAGCACACAAGCTTCGGGACAAAAGAGGAAACATTTGAAACTAGTCTTCAGAGTTCCTGGTTCCCAGCTTGAGATCATTGTGTTCTGCTAGCAGCTGAACTGATCAATGCACTTCCTCTTTTCAGTAGCAGCCCAGTAAGTCACTAAATTATTTCTTTACTGATTAATATTCTAACTTTTCTTTATAGGCTTGTTTCTAAAGGGGAATCTGGCATGTGCTTGTCTTAATTTTGATAGATACTCTGCTTGATGTGAGAGCTGATAGTAAGACAAATGTACAGTGCAACACTGAGAAAGGAGATTGCTATATGTGTGTTTCAGCAATGTATTAGCATTATTTTCTTACTATATAAATAATTTTAAAAGTTGTTTAAAACAGAAATAAGAGCCATCATATGCTTGATCTCTGGGAGCTCTAGAATCTAGATTTAGCTGTATTTCTTTGGGATCTGAAGTCTGTCTTACTAAAGCCTAAACAGAACATGTCTTATGTGTTACTGACTTCTGAGTTTGTCTTTTCCTACTTTTGGTAGGTGTTTGAACCTACCCAGCTTCTGGTTTTTGTGCTTTGTGTTGCAGAAGTGACAGAAGCTCTACATGAGGGAGGATTGATTTATCAAACTGATCATCTGAGAGCAGTACCCTCTTTACCATAGTTTCTCCAGAGGAAATGTTGTGTAAGGATTCTTATAGTAATTGTGTTCTGAGGAACTCTACTTGAGCAAGAAAGGTTGCTGTAGTTTAGGTGTGTTTGTGATTGAACTGTAACTTTGTTGCAGCCACAAAGCAGTTGTGCATCATAGGAATATCCTACCTCATATTTTTTGGTGGTGGTGCTTGAATTTATTTACTTGTGATGTAAAAATGTTAATTTTTTAACAGCTGCGTGACCATATGTGGAAGTCAATTATTAACTAGTAAGCAGCCATGAACATATGCACGATCACTAAGTGCAGTTACCTTCATCACTCATCTTGACTCCTTGTACTTTGTGCACACTGCACAAACTCTCTGTAATTCAAAATTGCTCTTTTCATTTTACCACTGGTGCAAAAAAATTTTTGCTTTTTATACATTTTCCATATATTCGTAGCTCTGTAGATGACTATTACATAATTATGTAGGTCTTTAACTAACTTTAGTACTGTCCTACCCCTTCACTTAGATTTTAGAACAATAAGCTAATGTTCCTGGAATCTTATTTAGTCTTGCCTCTATAGTGAACCAAGGACATTATAATTCTTTTCTCCGTGTATCATAGACATAATAAATGTCTATGATAGGAGCTGAGGAGGTGGAGGGGGCTTAAGTAGGGGCAGAACCACAAGTGTGGGGATTACTTAATTAACTGTTCCTTTAATTGGATGATTTCTGTTAAATATACTAATTTTTTCAAACTTACAAAATTGTCAGGCTCCTGTATTACGTGTGCATTTCACCATATATTTGCACCCTGAAGGATCTTCATTTAAGGTAACTGTTTTTTATCATCTTAATGTTGTTTGCTTTGTGATTTTAGGCATCCCCACTTGCAGCATGGTTTCAAGCTTGGTATGAAGTGACAACCTGCATCAACAGAAATTTGCAACCTGAAGACCCTTTTGTGTGATCCTACTGTTGGTGTTTCCTTTGTAAGTTTACTGTACTAACTTTGCTGGTTTATTTTCATCCCCACTCTGTCCCTCTGAGACATGTAGGAGCTGAAGTGGTGAGATCTGGTGTTCTTTGGACAAACAAGGGGAACCCTGCTAGGTATAGGTGTATGTCCTGATACAAAGGTTGAAATGAGTCTTCTGTCTGGTCATGGCTTTTCCATACTTACCTTGCATTCTTGATACATGCTTGCATTTCTATCATGTGGGCAAGGACTCCCTCTGGCCCTCCATGCCAGTGTCCTCGATCAGCCTTGTGCACAGTGGTGTGGACAGGTGTGCCCCAGGCACAGCTGGCAGAAAGCAGGCATCATTGCAGTGTTGATGCAGGTGAGTGATGGTGAGGAGCTTGGTGTCTGGAGAACATGTAATGTGGTACTACAGAGAATTGATGCACATCCATAATCTATGCCTGGTTTGGGTCTATGTTAAACTTAAAAAAGAATTGTGAAAAGAATTGTGATTGAAGGACTGTCTGATCTCTTTGGTTGTGATGTAACACTGTAAAAAGCAGTGTGGCTTTGTATGTTTCATCCTCACATCAGGATGTATTTGAGGAATTAGAAGTTCTCTTTGAACAAAAAAGTTACTTGGAAACAAATACCTTTTTATTAAATTAAGGCAGTGTGAATTGTGGGACAAACCACCCCCCCCATCTGTACTAATTGGGATTGGTAGCTAATTTGCATAGCTTAATTTTTTAAAAATAATAGCATATATTGCCAAGTCGTAATCCAGTTTACATTGTATATTTGCCTTTTAAAAGGAAGATGCTTATGTTTTGTTTGGTTTTTTCCTTTCACCCTGATATGGGCTACTAAAAAAATGGAGTGATGTATTTCAGAATTGTAAGCCATAGTAATTAAGACATCTTTTAAATATTTTCCTTGCATAGCATTATTGCAGCTCTTACTGGAGCTGAATTTTACCTGTTTATGACTGCATCCCAATGCCAGGTTGATTCAGTGGTAAGAAAGGTCTTGGAAGTCACAGGGACACAGCAGTGTCAAGCTGTTTATATTTTTTTCCAAAATTCAGGGGGATCATGTGTTTGTTTGGAGTTCAAGGAAGAGCTTAAATCTAAAAGAATCATATTCAGTTAATTTTCATCTGAAATTATCTGGTCTATTCAAATGTTGTTCATACATGTATTATAGAACTTTGAGTTGAATTTATGTAGGTAACAAATAGGATCTGAAATTTCCTCAATCTTGATGTTCAGTATGTTTCTGACTTAACGTAGAGTAACAGGATAGCGCAATACTATGGCAAGTATGAAAGCACAAAAGTACATTGTTTGTTTAGTATGATTAAATTGGAGGTTAAAATGCAAGAAGCAATTTTAGATGAAGTTAGATGTATAATATCAGACTGTGGTAAGAAGTAAATTATAAGTTTTTTGCTTGGCTTTGAGTTGTTGGTTTTCTGGGGGGGGGGGCTTTTGTATTTTTTTTTTGGGTTTTTTTTTTGGCTGTGAGGTTTTGTTCTGTTTTGTTTAGGGGATTTTTGGTTTTTAATTTGGTTGGTTTGTTTGTTTGCAGGCTTTTTTGTGGATTTATTGGAGTATTTTTTGGTTGGTTTTCCTTTTTTTTTCTTGTCACAACATTACATTAATAGGAGAATGTAGTTTACCTGCAAATAAATGGTGATAAAGCCCATGACGAAAAGTGTGTTCATAAATGTTGAATTGAAAAACAAAAGATGCTTTACAATATTTTTGTTGGCTGCTATTGAGCAAATTTTTCATAGATCTTCAAAGCAGAAGGAGTTTAAACTTCAAACTTGAGGTGTAATTACAGGGACATAAGTTTCTTTCAGGGATTTAATTTGTTTTTTGAAAAGTAAACATTTTTCTCAGTGTTTGCAACACTCTAATACTATGCTAAAGTATCAGAAATTACATGAAATCTGCTAGAAATATGTATTTTTATGTAGTTTGACAGAGTAAGTGACTAGGTTTAGTAAAAATTATTCTTAATTTTTGCATTTGCAATTATCTCTAGGGATCCTAGTGACAAATGTCTGGCTGGAATTTAGTAATTGCTTGGATTAAACTTTGTTTTAGTAGCAGCCAGCTTAAATGCTTGGATGTTTGCTTCCTCTTAGTATTGTTTATCCTTTCATGTAGAGTGCATTTGACATGGTGGGGATTATTGCATTTAAAAGCAGCAAAAGTCTGGCTGAAAAGGTTGGAAGAAAAGAGAGTTTGACTTCTGTGTTTTGGCCAATGGAAATGAGCAGCAGCTGTTGATACAGGGACATGGATGTTCAGAGTCTTTCTGTGGGACCTCAGAAATACTCAGCATAAACATTGAGTCTGAATTTGTTACTTCCACCATCAGCTGTAAGTGATATTTAGAATGAGTTTTGCAAATTCTGAGAAATACTTTGTAGTATGAATCTACAAAGTGAAAATGATATTATCTCTTTAATATACTAAAAGTTGGGATTTGCAGGAGCATCCCCAAACTTGGAAGGATGAGAAATAAAGTCTTCAGTAGTTTTCTTAAATCTTTTATGAGGTTTGCTGGATACAGTGTCTTCACCATTAAAATTAAATGTAAATTTTCAAACACAATTTTTACAGACCACAAAATGACAGTGCATTTTGTTGAAGAATTGAAGCCAGCTGTTACATGGAAATGAGTAGTTCAGCAAGATGCAGCTGGTTCTTGTAGCCTCAGTTCTGATTGTCTAGATTTGTTGTATAAGACACTGGAGGCAAAAGCATTTCATGAAGTGCAGTACATTAAGACCTGGGCTATATAAGTTTTGGCTTTTTATTAAAAGCTTGCACTTAGATTGTCAATCCTCTGCAACAAGCTGTCTCTTAAAATCTGGAACATGAGGAGAAAATCAGGGCTAACCCCATAAGACTCACTGAGTTGCTGCAGCTCCTTATAGCAGAAGTGAAGATTCCAAAGGTCCAGCCTTTCATGTGAGAGACTCTTAAGGGCTAAATAAGCAAGTTGCAGGAGCTGTACCTTTAAGAGCTAACAAAAGAATGGAAACACAATATAGTGAGTACAGGGAAGGGTAAGATTCCATGATTGAGGCACATTTCCACCTGTGTGTTTTCTGTGGTTTGTCTCTGTGTTGCAGGAGAGCAGAGCCTGTTGCTTATTTCTGTGCAGGGTAAGCAAATGCAGGCTGTGATCCTTTTGTGCTGTAGGGTTTCTCAGAGACTTCAGCAGCACACAGAGTCAGATTTAACTTGCAAAATGTCTGTGTTATCTACTGGGCATTGACCATGTATTTCCTGCCATATATTCTATGAGGTAATTTTTTATTTGTACCTATGAAATATTGGAATATATTCTGTTCTGCCACACATATTCTCTTTACACACAACACTGTGTGCACGTAAGTGAGAATCAGACCTGGTATTCAGGGATTAATTGGGAAAGCCAGCAGTGGTGTTGGGAAGTTACAAGGTCATTTGTGATACTTCCATCTGATCATTTATCTTATCTTCAAGAGAATAAGGTTCTCTGCAGGAAAAGCAAATATTTTAATGCTCAGGCAGTGAATCATCATTCTAGGTGTGTGCAATGGGTATTAAATGTAGAGCGAGAAAAAGGATACCACTTGTTCTGGTTTTAACTTTGATGCACTGATAGCAGCTAGTGAAGGTGAGTGACAACTGTAGCAAAAGCCAGCTTAAGAGAAATATCACTTTTAGGTATCCTGGGAACTGTGTATATCTCAATTATGTTGTGTTCTGCTGAATTAATACCAAAAATCATCACGTCGTCATCTTTAAAAATCAGTCTGCAATGGCAAACTGTATCCCTACATATACTTTCACTAGGAAGAGGAATTCTTATTCCTGCTCAGCCATAATTGGATTGATTTGGATGTGGCCCATGAAACATGGTTCTGCATGCTCCTGTACCTCCTGTTGACAAGAATTTTTTTCTTTTGTCTAGCAATACAACTTAAGAATGCCAGTAATTGACAGCAATTTTGGCTAATCAAGCTCTTACAAAAATGCAATGGAAAGTAGTTTGTCTGTTTAGTTGATATAATAAAGATACTTGAAGGCTAGGAGCCACTCAGATTTAATACTGTTGCGGTGCCACACAATAAATTTCTAATTTATTTGAATACAGTGTAAGACTAAGTTAAGATAAATTTCTCTTAATGAGAATTCACAGGTTTCCAACATCAACTATGTGTTGGAGAAGCTACCTGTTACTCACTGATTTGTGATTCTTATTATGTAATAATTTAAAAAATACAGTATTAGATTTGCTTTGATATGTTTTGTATTTCAGCTATTGTAATAATACATATGTAAGAATATGCTGTTATTATGCTGTTATTTTATAGTATCCTATTGCTTTTGATACTATTCTTCAGCAAAATTATGTGGGAACAAATTCCTTCTCCATTTCACAGTTCTGATATCATGTTCAGTTGAGAATGTTTCTCAGTTTACCACTGCATGTTAGGAACAAATTGTATTTTATGAGCTTTATCTCTGTGCATGTGTATATGGGCAGTATATGTATGTGTGCTATCAGTCTGTTGAAAGGCGTTTCTGACCTAAGTTAGAACTTCAAGGACTCTTTGAACCAAAACCCTTCTATTATCATCATAAAATAACTAAATGGTGTAGTATGTAACATATAATGTAGACAGAATGCTTAATATACATGTATACAAATTCTGTATACAATTCTTTAGCTTACTTGTGTTCAGAAAAGCCCTTCATAAATATTTCCTTTCATCCCAGTATGCCTGCCTAATGGCTTAAAAATGTGCTTTTGTGGCGATGAAAAGCATATGCTGTTTTCAAAAGTCTGCTCTGAACAGTGGTATTTTTAAATTCCTGTTTGTTTCTAGGAGAATTGAGGTGACTGGCTATAAGTTTGTGAGTACTTACAGTATAGTTTTTTCTGTCTTGAATGACATTTGGTGGAGGGGAAATGGCTATTAAGGAGGTAATTTCAAGCAATATTTTATTGGAAAATGTG